TATTAAGTGTACAATTAGTAATGAATATTTTTCACAAAATTTGATACAAACCCAGCTGAAGAGGTTTAGGATCCAGTGGTGTAGTCAGATTTTAAACAAAAAAATACTAATAACTAAATTTGGCAATGAAAATAGTAATAATAATAATAATAATAATAATAATAATAATAATATGAATAGATTGATAATTGAAAATGATTTCAAATATTATGCGATGTAGAAATCTTTAACCTCTTAACTGGTTATGATGGATATACATATATGCAAATTTGAGGTAATTTTCTAATGGATGAATATATATTATAAGGGGTTTATTTTTTTTTATAGGGGCCTTTCATGGATAACACAAATATATATAAATTGAAACAATTTCATGTAAAATATCTTATACATTTTATAAAATAGTTTCTATTGAAAGCAGTTGGTTTCAGTTGTTGAGATAGGGGTTAAGTTCTATGAAAAAAAAACATCAATTACATCAGACAATGTGTCATTTATAAAGGTCTTCCCATTTAAAATGGGTCAAATATCTAAATATTATTTGATTTGATGCGTCAGATTTGAACAAAAACATGTGTCGAAAGAGGTAGGTTAACATTATTATATTAGTGGCTAAAGCAGAATTTTTTAAATTTAGAGATACCTACTGAAATGTGGATATTTTGACTAAACTGTTAAAATCAAGGTTTAAATATTGATATCTAAAACTAGACAATTATGATTCCTCGCTAAAAGAGATGCCACTTCATATACTGGGTAGGAAAGTACCGATGGTCTATCTGAAGTTACGTGAGAGCGATAAAGTAAGCCATAGAAATCCATGCAATAGAGAAGGATGGCTATAATGAAGGCGTCTCATAGACACCACCCGTTTCGCCCATCCACAAATAAGATCCACTTCTTATTTGTGGAAGGGCGAAATGGACGGTGACTATTAGACGCCTTCACTATACCCATCTTTGTCTATCACATGGATTTCTATGGCTTACTTTATCACTCTCACGTAACTTCAGATAGACCAACGGTACTTTCCTACCCGGTATTTGTTTTGACAATAAACGAAGCACTAGCACAGAACACCTAACAGCCAGAATAATAACTCAATGGCTGCACCTTTGATCTTTTTAGGAGGTTTGACACCATTATTTTGAAATAGAACTTAGGCCTGCACACAAAATTTTTCATTAAAATTTGTTATATTTCTATATCTCTAATAGTAGTATATCTCTACTTCAATACATTAATTTGGTTACTATAATATTAATAAAAATATGCCTCTACATATATATTTTTAATTAACTTATTGTTTCATTCATAAATTGACAGGTTTTATTCTAAAATTAATGTAATTATAGTTATTAATGATACAAGTTTCATATGAACACTATAATAAAACGCGTGTAACGTTAAATCACGAGGCGTTAGCGGAACGATTTAGTTGTAGTTACACAAGTTTCTTTAACAAAATTCATATCAAATGTGTATCATTAAAAATTTAATCTACGATGGTCCAAATATGCAGATATTTGCAGATTCGATTTATCTTAAAATATTAGAAACGTCATAAATTAAAATTCAAAATTACTATGTGCTTTTATTTGACGATGTCATGGTAACCACAGTTATTGTTTTAAATCTGACTGACAACTTCATTATTGGCGTCCAATTTTGTGTCATACATTCAGTTTTAGTGAAAAAGAATATTAATATGGGTGGTTCTGATTCCGAGTGTCCCTTCGGATGTCAAAGACATTGCGCAAAGCGTTGTCAATACCTTACTACTTCCCGAAAAATCAAGACGGACGTACAAGCAAAGTTATGCAAAACTTGAAGATTGGTGTAAAGGGAAATGAATAAAGAATAGCAGCAATGAAAAAGTTCTGTGTTCGTCGCTTTGAGTATGTTATTCTATGCTACGTTCAGTTATATCAATGAAGAAAAATACGGATATTAGTATGTCCATTTAATTGCGTTTCTAAAAAGAAAGTCGAAAAGATTTCGGTCAGAGAAATCCGAGATTTTAATAAAAGAAAACATAACTCAATTTTTGCTGGAAGCCGACGATAGAACTCATTTTATGATAAGTGGCATTGATAGTGATTGTAGGTGCTGCAGGCGTACTGAATTGACAAATTTGCACCTACAAAATTTTAAAGGTGAAAGACAATGAATGCATTCATATTATTCTGTTTACAAAAACAAAGATATCAACAGATTTTTTTATCACAAACGGAAACATTGAAGAAATAAATGTGGTGAAAATGGTTTGAAGATATATAGCGATGAGGCCAAGCAATACAGATTATACTTGATTTTTTGTGGGGCACAGAAATGTAAAATGCATCAAGTAGCGAGTTGGCATTAATACTTTTGGGAAAATGCCATGTAATAAACCATTGTTCCTCGGCCTTCCAAATCCTCAACAATATACAGGCCGTTGTATTTGTAGATCATCTGCTTCCTTCCTTGCAAATTTAGGAGTCAATTTTTTAACTGTTAAGAGGCATGGTGGTTGGCACTTTAACACAATGGCAGAAAGCTATATAGAAGATTCCAAAGAAAATAAGTGGTCTCTAATATTTTGGGTAACGTTTCAGGCACTTCAACAAGTTCAAGCACTCGGGAAATAAACTTATTTTCTAAAAATATAGCCCGCTTATCATATGCTGGAATTAATTTAACAAATTTTTCAGAAGTTGTAATTAATATTTATCATAAATAAATGTTGAATTTTTTATAGTTAATAATAAGTAGAAGTGATGACTAACTTTGTTTTTGTTTATTTTTTACTTTAAAATTTGTGTGTTATGAATTCATTATGGTACTGAGTGTTATTATGAAGATCATAATGTCATCCAAATGAGAAAGCTAAATGTGTCATAATGACACTGTCATAGATTGTTATATAATTTTTTTTGCGAGTTTCAATTTTGATTGTTCGGTTTCCTGTGGCAGTGTCACTGTCAGTTATTCAAATATTTGGACATAATGACCCCAATCAAAGCATTTGTGTAACTTCTATTTATAGGGGTCCAACTAATGGTCTATATACAGGCACCAGACACTATTGACGTCCTTGGTGTCATTTTATTCTTTAATACCGTTGTTTTGGACAATGGGCTGATTCAATCAAGTTGCAATAAATTAGAAAAACAATTTTTAATTTTTTTTTGTAAACTATAATTCACCTCATTAGGACTAATAAGTATATCAAAGTTATAATGTAATACTGTGTTAAATTTTTTTGTACCAAAATTCTACAAAGTAGTAAATATTTTTTCTTCTGCCAAATTTTGGGAAAAAACAAATGCTAATTAAAAAAGTAAGTAAGGAGCTAAGTTAAAAATAAAAGCACAATTAATTGCAACTTTTTCGATTTTTTTTTTCAATACAAAAATTTTAATTCAGCCAAAATAAATAAAAGCCTCTACAATTTGGCCAATAGTTTTTCTTTAATTTTGGCCAATTAAAATGCCATTTTCTCTTCAAAATTACACAATTTTAAGCAAGACGATAGACAACAATATGACATTGCATTATACACAAATGCTATTCAAAATGTCACATTAAATCCAGGTTCTTGTTTTTCATTTAAATTAGGAAATCAGAATATTTGAAAATTTCAATTCACTTTTCAGTAACGTGACATCCAGTCGTGGTGCCTCATGAATTAAGACCAATTGTAACTAAAATTTGAAAAATTCTGTAAAATGTTGAGAAATTTCTTAATATATCTCCGTTGTCGAGATTGTTGTACATCCTGTATTCACTAATGGCGAAAAATGTGATCTTTATAAAAGTGAAATAATTTGTTGTTCAATGTTCAAAAAATATTGAATTTTGAAAAATATTTTTTTTTGTACGAGATGGGCGTATTTCATCTCATTTTTTAATTAAATTTTTTGTCTGATCATGTTAAGCCGAAGCATCAATTTTACAATACCATGTATAGAGTGAAACAGAAAATGTAAAAAGAGTTTGACTTATTTCATATGGTTGGTGAGGTGTGTACAGATATGACAGAGCGTGCACTACATAGTCAACCCAGTTCAAACAGAAACATTCTTCTAAAAAATGTATTTCTTGAACGATTTAATTTTGGTTTTCTTGTCGAGTTTAAAAAACCTCACATAATATTTAAATATACAGGGTGATTCACAAACGGTGACCAAAAATGAAACCTAGTATTCTTCGGTGAATTTTAAAGTTTTGTATTGTTTTTATCTAAGACACTTCGTTAAAAGAGTGTTAAATTTAAAAAAAAATGTTTTTAACTTTTTTAAATAATTTAAAAACTAGTATGAAATTGGTCACATGTATGTATGTATACATTGTCTAAAATGTGAGGCCTTTTCCTAAAATTTAGATGCTCCAGTGGCGGAGATACAGGGTATCGGTGGCATATTTTTCTAAATACACAAATAATATTCTACTGCTTTGCGGTAAAAATCACGATATTTTTGGATTGGTTTTTCAATTTTCTACAAATTACTTCTCTTATATTTTTCGAAAAAAGCCTCAATTTTGAATAAAACTTAAAAACTAACTGAAAACATTTTTACTTAACTGACATGACAAACACTAATCATTCGGTAATTTAATCGTATAAAGAAATTAATAACATTAGTCATCATATTAATGATTTTATTTGAATAAATGTTCAAAAATAGCTCCATTTCCACAAACAGGCGCGACATCTTTTAGAAATGAAAATGTAATTCGTTCAAAATTTATTGTTGCTTGAATCTGATGAAAAGCATTATTTATTCTTTCTTCTAACTGCTCAGAATGTGAAAGTTGCTATCGCAGCATACTATGTTGTACTCGAAAATCAGTCTTTTTTCGAAAAACATTTGTAGAAAATTGAAAGACAAATCCAAAAATATCATGGTTGCCACCAATACTCTGTATCTCCGGCACTGGAGCATCTAAATTTTAGGAAAAGGCCTCAGATTTTAAAAAATGTTTACATAAATACATGTGCCCCATTTCAAATTATTTCACTCACAAGTTTTTAAATTATTTGAAAAAAATGAAAAATATTTTTTAAAGTTTAACATCCTGTATCTTTTTAAGGAAACATCCTAGATAAAAGCTTTATAGTATAGACGTCCCTTAAAATTCACTAAAGAATATGAGGTTTCATATTTGGTCACAGTTTGTGAATCACCCTGTATATTCAGTTATCAAAGCTTACTTTTCATTCTTTTTTGTGCCAAATGTTGGTACATTTTTTTATCTAAAATCTGATAACATCACTGGATTCTGCACTTCCTCAATGTAGTTTGTATCAAATTTCGTGAAAACAATATTCATTGTGCAACCAAAATTTAAATAAAAATTAATTCTAACCAATTTTTGTCAGAATGTTTTTAGGTTCCATATTTGATGTGGGTTCGTTTACTTTTTGCATGAATGTATAACGTCTACTCCGAGTTCCGCGGGCTGCTCTGACATTTTGTCAGTCCACATCTAACCTTCAATAAAATAAAAGTTGAATTGTACTAGTTATCAGCTGCCAAAAAATCCCATTTGGGGAATGTTGAATAATATGTTTCCTCTCTGTTTTGTTTTTAAATATTTTTGTAGTTTCGTTTCTGAATAATTTTTTTTGTATATTAAAAGAATTATTATAGTAAATCCAGGAAATAACAACTTCCTTTAAAATAAATTTTAGATTCAATTCTCGTATAAAAAAAATAAGAGAAATACTAATTTGTAACAAAATTACATATCTAGAACACAAACTAATATATTACTTTTGTTATATTTTACATTTAGGGAACAGATTTAACGATTTTGAGAAATAAAAAATAAGTATTATTTTCACATATGTAACCAAATCGTCTTACTATTCAACAAAACCTTAATGTCTTCAAAGTTAATCTCTGTCACGTTCTCTTCTTTTATCACTTGAACTTGAGTGACGGGAATGAGAACGACGGTCACGATCACGGCTCCTTGACCTATAATTGATTAAATAAAACATAAGTTAAGCAGTCATTTTCAGCTGTATGAGATGGAAAAAAAAACATTAATTTTCTATAGACATTTATCACTGATATACTTTTTAATTAAAAAAATTTGTTTATTAGTCTAGAAATGCTTCGATGGGATACTGGTATATTAATGTTAATGTCAATTTCTATGACGTGCACCACTGAAGGTTGTTTGCAATTTAAAGCAGAATTCAAGTTCATATATTTTAAAAGCCACTTGTTGGATTTAGTTCAAATTTTCAGAATAAGTATAGTTCGAGTATTACTTTGTGTTTGTAAAAAGAAATTGAAAACTAAAATTAATTAAATGAGTCAATTGATTTACAATTCATTAATTTCAGATTGGAAAGTCTAGAAGTTCATAAAATTTTCCTGTATCCTTCTCTGTTATTGTATCATGAATTGTAGTTATTCTGGATTCTGGAATTTGACAGCAGTTAGAAATTGTATTTTTCATCAATATTTTTTTATGAGTGTTCAATTTCAGTTAACATCCAGAATTTTAATATAATACAAGTAGGATTTGGAATGAATAATAATAAACAATATAATTTATCAGAATTCTATAAGACAACAGTAAAACAGGAAAATGTTGCACAATTTAAGAGTTTCCAGAATTTTCGATCTGAATCCAATGATGTTCATTATCACTTTTTAAACACTTTTAGCATAATTACAAGAACCATGAATGTGTTTAAACTACCTGATATATTTTTTTATAAAATAATTGAATCCTCATATTTATGACATTCTTGGAATTTCTAATACATACTGCTTATTTAAATAATACTATCTCTAACTGTTCTAATTACAAGGTTAGTCCAGAAGTCGGAAACGTGTGCGGGAGATTGATTCATTCTTTTCTGAATTTAGCGATAAAATATTACGTAATTTATATTTTTTTACAATTTACCACTAAAAATTCTGGTAGGTATAATTTATAAGACAAATTAAAACATCTGTAGGAGAGAAGTCACTATATTTACTGTTATATATATATATATACCTGGACTTATACGAACGGCTGCTTCGACCTTCTCTATCTCTTTCTTTTTCTTTGCGGTCCCTAGATCTAGATCTGTGCCGTTTTGATCTTCTGTCCAATTCTCTACCACCTACATAATGTTCGCGGTATCTTCTTTCATAACGATCATCTCTCTCATCACGGTCCCTGTCTTTGCCCACTTTCCTCTTCTCTTCCTTCCTCTTCTCTGCAGTTTTCTAAAAAAATGTATTGTGATGATGTATAAATCTGAAAGATGATATATTTTGATGGAATACCTACCTCTAATTCAGCTAATTTTTCACGGATTTTAATAAATCCAAGATGTAGTTTTCCTCCAAAGTGGTCTGCTAAACGTCTATCATTGTCATGTATACCCAAATAAGCAGAACATACTTCACAAACTCTCAACTTTTGCTGCTGGTAACTACTGGCAGGCATCGAGTTTCGATACTCCTGTTCAGCTTCCAACTTTTTCTTTCTTAATTCATCAACCTGATTTACAAAAATTTTAAATAGTTGTTTAAATATTATTTTCAAAATATTGACTGCGATTTTATTGCAAATTGATGGTTTTTTAAAACTGCTTGAGAATTTAATTTTTCACTGTAGTACTGATGCGCTTAATTGTTTCTTTTATTGCTTAGAATGGATGAAAAACTTATCGACTTGGTACAGAATTTTTGCCAAACTGAAAGTAGACGGTAATTTTATTTTTATTGTTTGATCGTCTACTACTTCTTTATATACAGATCTAGATTTTCCTTCACTTTCTCATGTAGTCCATGCCTTGTATATCTATTTTTGGTTTTTTGTATTGTATCATATAGAGTTATAACAATAATTGCCAATATCAGTAAATATCAATAAAAATTTCAAAATAGTCAATTTTTTTGGATAGACAAAGGATATAGTTTTGTTATACAGATAGACGCATACATATTCATGTAAGAATATTCTATGATTTTACAGCACTAACAATTTTACGTTTTTCTGGAAACCACAGTTTTTGAATTGGTCGGAAACAACACAATGAAATCTTCGCCAATCTAACTGAAAATTTTACTGTATATTCAGAATTGTATTCTTCGGCAACGTATGATTTTTTTAAATATATTGCACAGTATTTTTTTCTAGTTTGTTTTTTTTTGTTCCACGTCAAAAATTGCATGAGTTACATTTTCGGTTGTGTACCCCTTAAAAATAGGGCAATGATGGAGAAATGATGTGCAATCGTCATTTTTTTTTATTTACCTTGAAAAAATTATTTTTCATAACTCAGTAGTATAATAAAGTCCTCTACAAAATTTTGATTGATCCCTGCATTTCTTTAAAAAAATTATGAAATATGCCCATGAAATCTTGCTCTAGGCAGGTTTAATTATTAAACTGTCAATGTTAAATTTATGAGATATAATGAAAAATGTGTATGTATGCCAATCAAGAAAGAAGAGATTTGATAATTATCCATGCTGTGGCTCACGCGTGTATCTGGCACAGGTGGTTATTTCAGGTTACAACAGCTTGTCCAGTGATAGAATATGAAAATTATGAAAATAAGTTTAAAAAATTCAGTTTTGACCTTGAAATGACCATGAGACGACTTTCAAATAATCTGATACAGACAAACTGCCCTCGAATTCGAACTCTGCGACCCCAAAATCCTGTATAACATGTAGTCGGACTTTATTGCTCGGCTTTTTCTCAATTTGACCTTGAAATAACCTTGAAACAATCTTAAAACGGCCTGATACAGAAAAATTATTGTCCGATTTGGACTCGGCAACCCAAAAAACCTAAACTCTGAGATCCTTTGATTTAATGCACTTCTCAATCTGACCTCTAATTGACCTTGATCCTACCTAGGAAGGAGGAGGAAGTCCCATTTGGGGGTAGAATCGATTAGTTATTATATGTCACCGTGATTTAGAAAATAGGGGTTGTCTGTCAATTCTGTTCTGATTTGCTAATAAATAATAATAAAAAAAAAAATTCTTTTTTTTTGGCCGAAAATGAAGGGGGCTGAAAACCGGCCTAAATGACCTTCCCCCTTTTCGACTGGACTGAATTCAATCATCATGTCAAACATAAATGAAAGATTATGTTGTCCATTTAAATATTAAGAATATAATTTCATAAACAAATTAATTAATTAATCAAAACAACTCAAATTTTTAATCTGAGTGTCAGCTCTGTTTTATTTTAACTGCGGTAGTTAAACTAGTCTAAAACTAATACCCAACAAACATTTACCATTTTCTTTCACTCCAATACACAAAATATTTGAATATTGTTTAAATTTTTTTATAATTTAGAATAATAATGTCCTTTATTTTCTACATAATATATAACTAATTGTGGTCATTTTCATTATATCTTTTGCTGTTCAAAAACTGAATCAATAAGTGAACATAGCAGCTGATGATGCAAAATTCAACTTTACATTATCAATACCAAGGCAACACTTTTGATGAGCTGTATTTGAGCCACATTATAGTACTGTTTTAAAGATGCCATTACAAGAGATGAGAGATGGCAAAAGAATTTGGTAGTTTCGTGTCGTTTTATTAATTTACATAGATCCACTCTAATGAACACAAATTTTAAAAATTTCATTTATTTCTGTTGCGAATTTTATTTTTTCATAAATGAAATTTTCATGAATCAAACCAAATAAAACATTTTTTAACTGAACTGATTTTTACCCAAAATTAAAAGTCAATTTTGTATGGAAAGTCGAACTGCTTTAATAAATATTTATGCAAAGGAGACTGCTACAGGGTTGGCAAAGATTAAAAAAGACAAATAATACTGTTGCAACAGCTGCAGTATTGCTCGTGTAGTATGAAAATTGGGAAAGAAAATTCTCCTTCAGGCACAATAGTTTTTTTTGTGTGCAAATATACTCAAGTATACATTGAGAATATTTTTGTAATACTACACCTAGACTACTGTCCAAAAAATAAAAAATTTAACTTAAAAATTTATACCTCCTCCATAAGCTTCATACTTTCTTCAACAAAACCTTCTTCTCCAAGTTGCTCTGCTTTAGCCAATTTTTGACCAATTTGCTCAGCTAATTCATGAACGCTGTTAGCTTTGACAGCTACTTCTGCCGAGAGTTCCTCTTGGGTTTCAGCCAAACGTTGTTTAGCAGCTTCGGTTCTTCTATCACAATCACTAATAAATGCCTGAAGATGTTCCATCGCCTACATTAAATAATTTTTTAAAATAAAGTGATTACTTTGTAACAAGAATTCAGTAACTTTAAAAACTGTACTTACGTCAAGATCATAAAAGTAATCTTTGGTTTGTTGTGCCTTCTCAAAATCTGCCCTCAGTGCCAAATCATGGATTTTTGGGCATTCTCCTAAGTCCATGCGCTGTTAAAAAATTTGATTATATATTCTATTTTAAAACAATTTTCAAAAAAATTAAGTGTAATTCTTTTAGTTAATGTGTTACTTTCTTTTTTTTTATTTCAATTCAGACTTATAATGACTTCTTGTAGTTACCCCAAAGGAAAGAATGATAGGTATCTATATATCAAAAAAATATATTTTTAATATCTATGATATACATATATTGCAATAAATTAATTCACCACTAAAATGGGCTCAAATTTTAAATGAATACCTAATCTAATTTTAACAGTTACGATACTAAGATAGAAATTTTTACTAAAATTGTAGTTTTCAGAATATGTGGAGTATAAGAGAGAATATTTTTTCTCCTAAATTTTGTAACATCATAGGGCGCACTAGCTAAAATAGCAAATTTCTACTTGAATCAAACTGTAGCATCATCTTTTCAGTTTTTGTATTCATGTCATTTCTTTTGATTGAGATATGTCATTAAATTAAATGCACATAGTATATCTTATCTATGATTAAATGTAAAAATTAGTGTAAATCAGTTTATTGCAAAAATTTCAAAACTGTCAAGACAATAGTTATAATAAAAGAAATCTGTGTGAGAACAAAAACTAAGAAAATTAATTAATACTTTTAATAATAGCTCCATATCTATGAATTATACCTACTCAAAATCAAGAACCATTTTTTCCCCACCAATGTCATTCCATATTAGTAGTATTAAGGCTTTTACGGTTATGCTGATATTTAAAATAAAATGGTTTTTCACGATGTTATGCCGTGGCCTATGTATCTACTCGCTGCCAGTTACAGTCTTATATTGCACTCCCTTAGCCTTACATAGGAATCTTTGACCTGCCATTGTTGTTCTCGGGCCAAGCTTTGTGGAGACGAAGCTTTTGCAGAGTTACCATTGAAGATACCAATAGTGAAGAATGACGAAATGTTTGGAAGCATTGGATGTGACCAGAGGGCCACCATTATCTGACGAGTTGTTCCATCTATAGTGACCTTAGAGTCAGCAACATCTGGGCGTGCTTAGGGGTTCTGATAGCAGATTGACTCCACATAGTCTAGTCCGAGAACAAGGACAGGCTAAAGATTGCTAGTTAAGGTTAAGAGAGAGCAGTGTAAGTCTGTGTAACGCAACAACCAGGTACATAGGCCAGGGCATAACACGAAAAACCATGGACCTTTAAATATTGTTCTGTATGCTTCTATGCAGGCAGTAGACAGCAGTAAGAGGGTCACTCCTATTCATCTCGCTTAATATACGACGCACGTCAAAAATCTTTATATGGTTTTTGTTGCATTTTTTGAGGCCTTTATGCTCGTAAAAACAAATTTGAGATCCATGGCTAACTTTGTGAGTAATTATAAAAAACCGGAAAAGTACCAAAAGTTTAGGGTCGTCTAACTTTTTTATTTTAAGAGATAGAGAAAACTTATTTCAATAAAATTTGATGGCAAAATTGATATCTTTCACCTGGTATAAACAGATTTTTGAAATATCGTATGTAAATTGCTGCGCCTCCTAAACGGGCAAAAAAAAATTGTCATCGAAGTAGGCTATGGCCACAAAATAATTGCTTGTTTTTTCCTCTTTCATGTGATATACTACATGTTGCCTTTACCTTTTATATTTACTACATTTTTTATAATTTTTATATAAAAAAATATAAACATTTTCGTGTTGCTTATGTTAATGTAGAAATTTGTTTTAAACATAATAACTACAAAAAAATTAATAAATATAATGTACTTCTCTTAAGCAAAATATAGATTTTCTTATTAGTTTATTATTGTATTGGTTTTTGCATTAGAGAGAATTAAGCCTTCAACATTGTTCTTTCACAGACAAAGTAGCAAATACTATAATAATGTAATAAGAAAATTTGTATTTTGCTTAAAAGAAGTACATTATATTTATTATTTTTTTTTTGTATTTAGTGTATTTCAAACAATTTCTATATTAACTTAAGCATCACGAAAATGTTTATATTTTTTACATCAAAATTATAAAAAATGTAATAAAGATATAGGCGACATGTATATCGCATGAAAGAGGAAAAAACAAGTAATTATTTTGTGACCATAGCCTACTACGATGACCGATTTTTGTCCGTTTAGGGGGCGCAGCAATTTACATATGATAGTTCAAAAATCAGTTTATACCAGGTGAAAGATATCAATTTTGCCATGAAATTTTATTAAAATAAGTTTTTCTATCTCTTAAAATGAAAAAGTTAGACGACCCTAAACTTTCGGTACTTTTTCGGATTTTTTATGATTACTCACAAAGTTGGCCATGGATCTCAAATTTATTTTTCCGAATATAAAGGCCTCATAAAATGCAACTAAAAACAGATTTTTGACGTGCGTCGTATATTAAGCGAGATACATAGGAGTGACCCTCTTATAGTAGACAGCCTGTATATCCACCTTATCACTGATTTTTTTTATTGCTATTACTGTTGTCTTAAATTTTTTTATTTTTACAATAAACTGATGCATTTCAACTACGTATCTCTCCTTGTATCAACTGAAAACTGAAATTTCAAATAAAATTTTTATCTTGCTGTAATTTCTAAGAAATAAATCTATTACTTTAAAAAAATCATGCTGTTTGTGAGAAAATTACCTCTAACATTGGAACTCATTTTGATGCAGTGTATAGTATTTTTTAATTTACTTCAACTGTTTCTTTTTTGTAAAACATCTTTCGATTCAATTCTTAAAAATGTTCAGACGTAGCATGACAAAATAATTGTACAGGAAAAAATTAATGTTAAAAAAATTTCTTTTAATATATAATATGAATATGTAATTTGTAATTTGATATAAGTATAAAAAGAGAAAAAATTAATGAACAGTTATTTGTCTGAAATTGAGGATATTTCATAAAATTAATTTATCCTTCAACTGTTGTATAATTAAGCTGTTTCACACAATAGCTCTGTTGAAAATATGTATAATTATTTTCAATAAACAAATTGTATTCTAAAGCATAAAATCAAAACAATTTTTATTTGCGCTGTGGGATATTTTTATATATTTTTTTGTTATACACAAACAAAATAAGAAAATAAATGTAAAATATCATAAAATTATAATAAATTACAATGCTGCAGTTTAACAATTATGCATTGAAAGTAATTTTCATTTGAGAATTTCACAAATAAACTAGAACTATTTATCATTAAATTGCCAAATCAGATTACTGTTAGAAAGTAACATGTGGTATAATATAATGTGTAACACCAGACAATACATTGTTACAATTTTGGTCAATTTTGGTTTTTTTTTGCATGTCTATTTGCTTTTTGATTTCTGACTTTCATGTCTAACATTTATTTTGCTATTACATAGCAGGTTAAAAAAATAAATAAAACTTTATATGACGTAGTTTTAAAATAATCACTATAAATCTGAATTATATTACAAAAGAATTAACTTAATATAACTTTTTCACAGTATAATTAAAAAACAGCTAATAGTATGAGAGTAAACTCCTACACATATATTTTATATAAACACAGTTTCCAATCTTATAAAAAGAAACAGTTAACCATGTTGCAAGTAGGTAGATTTTATAAGTGTACATCAATGTTATTTTTATAATACCTACATATAATCTTGTAAAGGATTGGATATGCTGTGTTTATATTTTCAAATCCTCCTAAAATTGAAATACAATTATGGTAAAAAAATATGTGACTTACAATTATGGTAAATTCCAGAGAAAAAATGGACTTGTAAAATCCTAAGGCGGATTGATTTTTCTTTACAAATGATGTTAAGTTGAAATGTTAATAGTCGTCAATATAATTAAAAAAATGCATCAATTTTGATGACTTTTCTTACTTAGATCAGGAATAATTTTTATACTCACAAAAAGGCCTGTATGGACGGACTTTGGGGCTTTACTTTTAACAATTTATACTCACAACAGTCCTGTGTTTTAATTGTTATTTTGTATGTAGTACATGCAGATTTTTCTCATTTTTTTTTCTTATTACTTACCAATAAACACCGGATTAAATATTTACAACTACAAATTTTATTATTTTACCATACCTTCCAAAGTGGCAATACTGAACAAGAAATAACAGTTAAGAAATTAATAGAAATATAGTATATTGAGCATATTAGCATGTTTTAATTTTCATTAATTTCTTATCTGTTCCACGGCGCTGCATAAAATAAAAATTATTCTTGCTGATATCCTATTATCAACATTTATACCTAATATTTCAAATTTTTATACGTACGTCGTTGTACTTACATACAAAACAAACACCTATTCCTCATCTTATATTAGATAATTGAAGTTTCTGAAAATACATTGCGTCATTAGTCACCGATATTAAAAGATGTTTAAAATCAGACTCAATAATAATTAGTCTGATATTAAGTCTACATTTCGGAAATAGAAATAATTTCAATTTCGAAGTAATTATTAAAATATTTTAAAAAAATCCCTAAGAACTTACCGTCGAAGACAATATTTCATGTGGGCAGCAACTCAGCAAAAATGATTTACACACTTTAGGGTCGTTGAATTTCACATGAAATTTATTATTTTCACCTAGAAAAGATAGCATCTGTGTAAAAATCAATGAAAGTAGTTTGTCAATATTACGTTACCATTTCTTCCTGTACCCATAAGCTGATCTAACATAGCCCGCATTTGATCGTGGGCCGTCATTTTTTATGATACTTTAATAATTATTAAATTATCACAAAATTCACCACTACAAATAACACTGTTTATTATTTAAGACGTCCACGGCAGCAATATGGCGACTCTATAAAATGACTTGCTCCAATTTCTCCAACACAGAATAATGAAATTCACTGCTTGAGCATGCGCATTATAACGCGCATTTAATTTCTCTTTCCTAGGGATTTTTAATAGATACTGTTTTATTTCGTTACACGTGTGTTTACTAATTTCTAGGTTAGGTTTAGTTTTTGTAGAAAACAACATGGACGTTGTAAATGAGGTTTTCGAAAAATCAGCCAAAGAGGCTGAAAAATATAAACCTATAACGGTTAAAAAACATTTAGACTTGGATTATGACCTAGGAACACTGTTGGCAGTAGATAATAATGAATTTGAACAGCAGCTTTTAAGGTAATCATCCAGTGTGGTCTGTTTTTAGTGGATTTTAATTTATCTCTTTTTTAGCCAAAATAAAAATGATTACTTATTAAATTTAACGAGAGATAATACACAACTGTTGCTAAATAAAATTTGGGCGCTTCCTACAGAAAGAGTCGAGGAAGCAATTGTAGTGAAGCTTCCTCCAGCTAGAACAGTTTTACCTAGAATGAAACCAGTACCAAGACCAAAACCACTTACAAAGTGGCAACAGTTTGCTAAAGACAAAGGCATACAAAAGAAAAAGAAGTCGAAGCTTTCCTGGGACGAACAATTGCAAAAATGGGTGCCTTTATATGGATTTAAGCGAGCTAAAGCACAAAGGGAGAAAGATTGGCTTTTAGAAGTGCCTGGAAATGCAGATCCAATGGAAGATCAATTTGCTAAAAGAATTGAAACCAAAGGTGAAAAAATTGCCAAGAATGAATTACAACGATTAAGAAATATTGCAAGATCAAGAAAAGTTAAAATACCTAGAGTTGGAATAACTAACTCTGATGCTTCAACTGCTACAGAGGTAAGTACCATGTTCCATAAAAAGTTGTAAAAATCAGGTCCATTTTTTTTTTATTTACAGTTACAAACAGCTGTAACAGTGGCTAAAGCATCAACAGCTAGTTTGGGTAAATTTCAAAATAAATTACCTACAGAAAAAGAAGCTAGGGGTGTGTCTGCTATAACTCCAGGAGCTACCAGAAAAAGAAAACTTCCCCCAGTATCGGCCGATATTGAGAAAAGTGAAAACCTTGCCATAGTTGAAACAATACTGAATAAAAGACCAAAATTAGATATTGAAAAAGCAGTAGCAAGGCATATAAATAGTGATCAATTGGAGTAAGTAATAATAATAATATATTTGATACAGTATATGAGTACATTATTATGAAGCTTTCAAATATCTTAATCATCAAGGTCATATGAAATTAATTTGGTAAATGATTATAAAGAGGAATTTTACAGTTTTTGCAACTTGCCATGAATACAGACGGAATGGATGGACGTTAAGTTTAACCTAATCAGATTACCTAATATTAAAAAATCATTACATTAATTTTGAAATAATTTCTAAAATAATTAAATACTTCTTTGTTTATACTAAATCCTAAAATATTATTATATCAATTAAAAAGTACAAAATACAAATAATGAATATAATCACAAACAGAAACGGCAATATTGAAATAAGATGGAAAATGCCATTAATATGGATAGGTAAAGGATCTTAAATAACGGATCCTGTTATTCTTACGTTCTTTCCATTATAGCCTGAGCGTGTGCAGTAATGATTCACACGGTTTTAACGGATACCATAGTGTCCTTAGTAACTGTGCAAAAATTCCCTTTCCTCCTTCAGTCATATTTATAACCATAACAATACATATTTATTATATATTTTTTTTATTATTCAAGACCCATTTTTGGATTAATATTAGAGACCATTAGTATCTAGCAAACATTAAGGTACTGTCAGTCTAGATTAGATAAATACAGGGTGATTAACTTTTTATGATTAGGACTTTAACCATCGATAGATCTCTTCAAAATAATGTTATTTGAATTATACACTTTTTCTTCCAAAGGCTTCCTTTTAGAGATACAGAGAGATCCAGTATGCTAAAGATGGTGTTAGAAACAGGTTGCATTCCCTAAACGCTTCAATCATTCTGGATTGGATCTGGATTGTTTTTATTTATTTTTTCTAAAACTGAAAGCCATTTGTTTTATATTTAGTATAAAGTGTACGAATGAAAAACTCTATTGATTTTACAAATTATTGTGTAAATAGATCAATCATAGGGGTCTGTAAGGGGCTCTGATAACCCCTATTTTTAATATAATTTGTACACCACCATTCATCAAAATGAATATATTTTTTTGCATTGTGGTTATTGTACACCAGAAGGTATGCGTTAGAGTTTAAAAAACTATTTAGAAATGTAACGTATTTTGACTTAACAAAATTTTTTTTTAATTGTACTCCTCCAATTACCTTATCGATGACACTGCTTTTCAGAAAGAAACTGTTTGCACATTATTCTTCATGCACAGTTGATGTTTATTCGTGTACAAATTTTGGCATTTTTATCTTCAGCCGATTTAAAGATAATTAAGGAAAACCATATGGAAATTAACAACTTCAACACACTGTATCTCGAAAACAGGGTGTCTAAGAAAAAAACGTTACATGAACTACCCCCATTATTTTCATGAGGAACTTGCACACAAGTTTTTGTGAAACATGAACGGGACACCCTGTATATATTGCACAACAATTAGATGACTGGAATGTCTAAGTTAAAGGACAATCCTGATTAACTATTAAGATATTGTTATATACAGAGTATCCGAAAAGGTCATATCAAAAATGAAGGGATATACAGAGGTCAAAATAATAGTTGTAGTATTTAATAAAAAAAATTTTCCTGTTGGGCTTCGTTGTGGACAAAAAAAATTTACAGGAACTACTCCCTTTATTTTCCCATGAGGGATTTGCACACAAGTTTTTTTAAAACATGAACAGGACACTCTGTATATGTATATTAGAGTGCTAATTATGTATCAACTTCGTCAGTAATAAGCATCATTGGAACTAGTTGACGATTAACTTTGATCTATTCACAAAATTTTTGTGAGAATTGCAAAAATAAAATCTCTAAACAAAATGTACAAAACCTGACAACAATAACTTTCGATTCACTCTAATACATAATTTGCATACATCATCATTTTTAGACGAGTTTTTTAACGGAAATGGCTGCTCCTAGAGACTTCAATAAGGTGTACATTTCTTAAGTAGAAAAGATAGGGGAAAATGTTTTTCTATTCCGAAATGACATACACCGTGGCACAAAAAGTTGAAGCGATTTAAAAGGATCATAATGGTTGCCTGTGGTGCCCTCTGGGAGATACAGCCCATCGTCTATAAAATTTGAATTTCCCGTCCCAAGAAACCTCCGCATACAAAATTTAACTCAAAGTAGTGGAGAGTTATTAAAGAAAGTGTAATTAATTTTTTCAAATTTGACATCCTGTATGTCCTAAACGAAGCGTTTCCAAATCTAAGTTCATAGGAAATTTTTTATTTAAAATTTAACTTAGAATAACATACTGAAGTTTGTACATTGCCTCCTGAAACACCCTGTATATAATATATGCATATATCTGTGGCAAAGTTTACTTTTACATTTTTTGTTGAAAAGGTTGTTTAGGATAGAAATATTTTGAATGCAATATCTACCATGAAACTGAACTAGGATTCAAACGTTTATATTAGTATTATTAATTATATTTGTATTAACAAATTAACTTTTTTTTTTGTAGAAGTTCTCAAAAGAAGCAAAATGTAGGTTCACATAAAAAAGGTCACAAGAATAAAGGTTCAGGAAATGCCAAGAAACCAAAAAGTGGGAAGGGTCAAAGAAAAGGAAAAACAGGTGGTGGAAGAAAGAGGCGTTAAAATCTATTGGAATAATTTGATAATAGGTAAGATTATACCATAAAATTTATAATTACTTGAAAATAATAATAATAGTAATAATAATTATAATAATAATAATAGTACAATAAAATCTCACCATTAAAAACCTAAGAGTGCCGGACTACTGGAAAATTCGAATTAATGGAATATGTATAATGTAAACAATATTAAATTAAAAAACGTTACTTTTAATTGTTTATTAACCTTTTCGCTGCGCAATACGTCTGAACGTAGCTACCGCGTCGTGTGCGAAAGTTTATCACCTGCGAATATATATATACGTCTGGAGCAGTTAGATCACTTATAGTTTTACATTATGTTGTGTTAAATTACGATTTACGATAAATTTTACGATTTTATTTTAAATAAAATACAGTATATCGACAGCTGTACTAAATAGAAACTGAAAGAGAGATGAACAATCCTGGCATTATTACTAGTACCTCCTTTCATAAAAGTATTTGTCACAATCGCTATTAGCTCCGTCCGCAAAAATTCTTCATACTAATTGCACTAATGCGCATGGTTGCGAATATATATGGTTTGAGCAGCCTGATCCAATTTAACTATTCAAGCGAATTTATCCGTCTGGAGCAGTTTGAGCCCTATAAATTTTTAGCGAATAAATACGTCTGGAGCAGTGAAAGGGTTAACAAAGAGGAGTACATAGATATATACGAGTATACATATTACTTTTGTGTATGCTTATATATGTATAGGGTGGGCCACCAGTAATGCCTCGGTCGTTAGGGACCAAACGGCAAATGTTATAGAAACATGTTTAGGTGGGTATGTGTAGGTTGATTACGGCTACATTTTAAAAATATTTTAAAATATACAGGGTGTCCAGGAAAAGCGTACCATATCAAAGTTATGTTTTTTTAAATGGAACACCCTGTATTTTACTGCATTTTTGAAAGCACCGCAAAAAAATTGGTGAACTTTATTAAAGGTTCTGCATACCTAGGACTTACAGTTTGTGAAATATTTCAATTTTAGTGAAAATGCAGGCATAGCGTAGTAACTTAATATTAGCAATAAAAAAATGATTTTAAGAAAGTAGCTTTGGAGGGTCTATTTTAGATCTTTGAAGTTATAAATTGTTATATTTGTCGTCACTTACTATTATACAGGGTGTTAAAAAAACTGCTGAATACTTCACTCAACTTTAAACAGCAATAACTTGGTTATTTTAAATGGGACACCCAGTATATTTTTACTTTCGAAGTTAGGAAATTTAAAACTCTTTCAAACTGTGTATAGGTTTCCTATACCTATCTCTAACGGTATTGAAGATATTTATGCCTTCATTTTTTTATTGAATTTTTTTGTAAGATGTATCCATGTGTCTTTATTGAGGTCTTTGTTGAATTGGTTTGGGTTCTTCTTGATGAAGTCTCTTTAAATATATTGAGGAAAATGAGGATGCAATTAGATGGCGCACCTACAAATTTTTCATATTCAGTGAGAAATTATTTAAATCGATAATTTAGTAATAAATGGATAAGTAGGAATGGTTGCATGTCAGTGGCCACGTAGGTGTCCAGACCTCACCGTAATGGGCTCCTTTGTTGCGAGCTATATAAAAAATCTTGTACATAATGTTCCACCTACTACTTGCGATGATATTGAAGGGAAGGATTAGAGATGCATTTGCATGAAAATATCATTTGAAGATAGAATAAGATGCTGTATTCAAGAGAATGGTTATCAATTCGAACATCAATTAAAATTTTTCTTTGTTTCTTCTAAAAACAAAATTTCCTTTTTTCATTATCATGACAATATTCAAAAAAGTTTTCTAATAAAAAATATTATTTTGTAAGCAGAATAATTATAATAAGTTATAATAAGTTATTAATTTTGAATAAATATGTTTGTAGTAAGTAACTGAATTATTTATGAACATGAAAAATATTTATTAAAGAAAATTTTACTTTTAGAAGAAACAAAAAAGAAATTAATAGATGTTCGAATTGATAACTATTCTCTTGAATACAGCATCTTATTCTATCTTCAAATGATATTCTCACATTCCTTAGAATATTTGGGGTGATTGTGGCAAATGCATCTCTAATCCTTCCCTTCATATCATCGCAAGTAGTAGGTGGAACACTACGTACAAGATTTTTTATATAGCCCGAAACAAAGAAGTCTATTACAGGAGGTTTGGACACCTAGGTAGCCACTGACATGATGGACCATTCCTACCATTCCTTTATTAGTAAATTTTTGATTTATATAATTTTGTCACTGAATATGAAAAATGTGCAGGTGCTCCAGCTAAGTGCATTCACATTTTTCTCTTTATATTTAAAGAGACGTCATCAAGAAGAACTCAATTTAATAAAGACCTCCATAAAGACATGTGGACACATCTTACAAAAAAATTCTATAAAAAATGAAACGGCACAAATATCTCCAATACCGTTAGAGATAGGTATAGGGAACCTATACACAGTTTGAAAGTGTTTTAAATTTCCTAACTCCCAAATTAAGAATATACTGGGTGTCCCATTTAAAATAACCAAGTTATTGCTGTTTAAAGTTGAGAGAAGTATTCAGCAGTTTTTTGAACACCCTGTATATTACTAAGTGACGACAAATATAATCATTTATAACTTCAAGGATCTAAAATACACTCTCCAAAGCTGCTTCCTTAAAATTGTTTTTTTATTGCAAATATTAAATTTCTACGCTAAGCCTGCATTTTCACTAAAATTGAAAACAAAGTTCACCTATTTTTTTATGGTGCTTTCAAAAATGCAGAAAAATACTGGGTGTTCCATTTAAAAATACATAACTTTGATATGGTACGCTTTTCCTGTACAACCTGTATATTTCAAAATATTTTTAAAATGTAGCTGTAATCAACCTACACATACCCACCTAAACAGGTTTCTGTAACATTTGCCAATTGGTCCCTAGCGACCGAGGTGTTACTGGTGGCCCACCCTGTATATTGTAATGTTTTTAATGTTTCTGTAAAATTATCTTTCAACTAAACTATATCTGTATAAACTTCAAGGATAGTAGACAAACGCGGAAAAAATAACACCGGATTACTGGACGTGCCGGTGTAATGAAGTGCCGGATTATAGAGATTCTACTGTAATAATAATAATAATAATGATAAAGAAATAAAAAAGAAAGTTTAAATAAAGGTAAATAAAACTGTTTTATTTTACTATAATATTTAAAATTTAATAAATTTATAATAATTTAAATATAAGATTTCAATGACAAGAAAGTTGTATAATGGCTTTGGGTTAAATTTTCTTGATATTTATTAGAACTTTGTTAATGAATCAAGGGTAAAACCATTATTTTCGATATGCAAAGTGTTAAGTTAAAATAAAATCACAATTTAATTTTATTAAATTAAATTTATAATAATTAAAATTAATTAAAGATAATCAATTTTTTGACACGCACAAAAAAGATTTAAAAAATATATTTATAATCTGTCAGATTAAGAAGTAAAAAAAGGCTAAAATAAGTAATAAGGCCGGCATACACGATGCAGCTTACCAGAAGGCTAACCGTAAAGTTAGTGGATATATTGTTCGGACTGCCTTGAACTCTCGGCCTCCCGAAAAACTGAGCGCTTGAAATTTTGCTTTCCGGCTATGCTTTTCGAGTACAAATCAGACCAGATCAGAGCTTGATGGGTGAGTACAAGCCGAGAGTTTCTGAATGGAACAAAAGCAGTGTGACAACATTTTGTGTTATCCCATACATAGTTTTTGTAACAAAATGGCTGATATGCAAACGTTAAGAGAATTTAACATAATTTATTGAGTTATACACATAGATCCCAGCCTTGCTTGTATTAAAAAAGCAAGCAATATTTAAAGCTTAGAAATTAACTGCCTACAATAAGCAGTAGATGCAGAAGCAACAAAAGATATGGTGGTTAAAAAAATTAATAATATGCGTAGTTCATACTGTAAAGAACTGAAAATTATCAGGGAAAGTAAAAGTGGATTGAGTGGAGAGGTTAATGAAACATCTCTGTGGTACTTTCATCATGGCTACACATTTTCGCTAAACTTTCCGTAAAACTGAACAAAATCGATCATTAAAAAGTAATGTGTATACTGTAGCCGAGAGTACAGGTTAGCCTTCCGGCTTTGCGTCCGGAAGGTTGGCCGACTGGCAAGTCGATATGTGTATGCACACTATTAAAGTAAATTGTTTTACTTACAATTAGTTAATATTTTAGACCGATCGAAATAACTCATTTAGAGGGGGAAAAAAAGAAAATTGTTGCTTTAACTTTTATGAGTGGAAATGGTAAAGGGGCTTATAATAAATGAAAAAAAATAAATGTGCAAGCAGGGCTGATTTGGGGGGTTGAAAAGTTGTTGTCGTAACTGATGTGCCTAAAATATAAATAGTTTTTGTTGTTGTTTACGTTGTTAGGGTAGATGTTTTTTTAAAAAAGACGTCTCCAAAATATTTGCAACCTTTTATGTATTATTGAAGTGGCTAATGTTAAAATATATGTCCAGTTTTTAATGAGCCGAGAGTGTCCTTTATTTTGAACCGTCTAGGCCGGAAATACGGGTAGTATTTCAACGGCGAGGCAACATTTGGCGACCGTGACAGGACTTGACAGTTCGGTGAGTGAAAAACTCTGGACATTTTTCCATTTTCATTGTGTGCCCTTTGAGGTCATAAACTCTGTTATTGTCTATTCGTAATGGTAAAAGAACCAACAGTCGCTATGGAAGCCAAGAAGAAACATAGGAAAGTGCTTCGGGCGAGTTTCACCAAAGTTGCCAACGAATTAGACACTCTGTTACAGGTTGACAAACCTGTGCACTGTGATGTAGAAATTTCTTGGGAATGTCTGAAAGGGAAATTCGATGAATTGCATGCGTGGGAGAATCAAGTTTATGAGGCCCTGCTGGAAAGTGCTACGGAGGAGCAGCTTATGTCAGAAATGGACAGCAGTGACGCCTACCAGAGAAGGTTCACCGAGCTACGTCTGAGATGTAATAAGGTGCTTCTGCCGGGACACGCAACTGCGGAAGTAGATGATATGGTCTCTTTGGTATCAGGAAGTTCGGGGCATTCTACGCATCTAGGGGAAAGTGGAAAAGGTAAGCGCAAATTTAAACTCCCGCGAATCGAATTTAAACATTATGACGGTAACGTAAAAGACTGGTTAGGGTTTTGATCACAGTTCAGAAAGGTCCATGAGGATCCCGATATAGACAGTAGTGACAAAATCGAATATTTAATACAAGCCACAGTACCGGGCAGTAGGGCGCGGCAACTTGTAGAGAGTTTTCCTGTGGTAGGAGAAAACTATGGCAAAATTGTGGAATGTATGCAGGCTAGGTTTGGTAGGGACGATCTACAAATTGAAGTACATGTCAGGGAGTTATTAAAACTAATTTTGGGTAATACAAGGTCTTCCCAGAAATCAGATATCTCCAAGCTTTACGATGAGATCGAGACACAACTTAGAGCGCTTGAAACGGTAGGAATAACTTCGGATAAATATGCAGCAATGCTCTTTCCACTGATTGAGTCATGTTTGACGCAGGATTTGTTAAGAATTTGGCAGCGTTCATCTTATAACTCGTCTCAAAACGGTGCCGATTCTATTAGGTCTTTAACCGCGGATGCTACACTTGAAATTAAACTTAAAAATCTTATGAGTTTTTTACGAGCTGAAGTAGAAAACGAACAAAAGATCTGCTTGGCAAGTGAAGGTTTCGGTTTGTTAGACAATTCTGTTAGGTCAGGCAGTAGTGTTGATCATAAAAAGAAGTCTGCAAAAGATCTCTCAACTGCAACAGCGGCTGGGCTGCTAAATGCTTGTGTTGCCAAGTGTATCTTTTGTGCTGGATGTCACAGTAGCGATATGTGTTTCAAAGCTCAAAAAATGGGTTACGACGAGAAGAAAAACATTATAGCAGAAAAGAAAGCTTGCTTCAAGTGCCTAAAAGTTGGACATCAGTTAAGAAAATGCCGCAGTCGATTGAGGTGTGTTGTCTGCGGACAATCACACGCACCATTGATGTGTCAAAGCTTACCTAGCATCAAGCAAGAATCCGATGGTGCAAAAGCTAAGGATGCAGGTGGAGATCAAGTTATGACAAATCAAACAAGCAAACAAGTTTTCTTACAGACACTGCGAATTACTTTAAAAGGAGCTACTGGTACAAGAAAGGTTAGAGCCTTGATAGATAGTGGATCGCAACGATCATACATATTGAAAACTACAGCACTAGCGCTTGGTTTGAAGCCTAAGCGAATTGAAAAGATAGTGCATTGTCTATTTGGCGGTCAGATGTCTACCGATACGCATTATTGCTATGATGTTGCTATGGTTAATGGGAAGTACACGAAGAATTTTGAAGCTTTAGATCAACCATACATATGCAACGAAGTCGCTCCGATTTTCAATGGTCCCTGGATGGAAGAATTTAAACGTTTGGGGGTTAGTATCAGCGATTCAGAAAACTCTGACCCTATCGAACTTCTGTTAGGAGCAGACATTGTTGGGTCATTGTACACCGGGAGACTCCATAAAATACAATGTGGACTGACTGCAATGGAAACCAATCTTGGGTGGACAGTAATGGGCCGAGTCTCAGGGTCCAATATTCGATCCAATGAGACAATGACTGTTCTATCTCTATTTGCAAATCCCTCAATCGCAGATTTGTGGCAATTGGATGTACTGGGAATACAGGAACCCACTGAAAAGAAAACTAAACAAGAAATGGCTAATGCAGCGAAGGACTTGTTTCTTCAAACGGTTACCATAAACATGGAGGGGAGATATGAGGTTCGGTTACCATGGATTGAAGGACATCCCCTGTTACCAACGAATCACAGTGTTGCAGAAAGCGGGTAAGAGCTATTATGCACAAATTAGAGAGGGATGGCTTAACCGAACGCTACGATCAAGTTTTCTGCGAGTGGGAATCCCAAGGTATAATCGAGCGAGTTGAAAGAGAAAATTATGGTCACTTTTTGCCGCATCGACCAATATTGAAAGAGGGCTCTACCACCGCGATAAGACCCGTATTCGATGCTTCAGCACAAGAAAAAAACAGTCCTTCTCTAAATCAGTGCCTGGAGAAAGGGCCTAATTTGATTGAATTGATACCTTCTTTATTACTCAGATTTCGTGAATTTAAAATCGGTGTCATTTCAGACATAAAAAAGGCATTCTTGCAAATTAGTGTGCATGAGAAGGATCGAGACTTTTTAAGGTTTCTTTGGATTGATAAGGAGGATCAAGAGTTTGTTTATAGGCACAGACGTGTTGTGTTTGGTGTCAACTGTAGCCCGTTCTTACTTGGAATGACAATCGAACACCATTTGAAAAAATGCATGGATAATTGTGGAAGCATGGACGCTGAATATTCTCGGGAAACCATTGAAAGATTATCCAATAGTTTTTATGTTGACAACTGTGTTACGAGTTTACCAGATAAGCATAAATTGAATGACTTTATAAAAGGATCTATATCTGCAATGGCGGAAGGTCAGTTCGATTTGAGAGGCTGGGAATTTTCTGGAAATTCGGACTGTGAAGATTTCAGTGTTCCTGTTCTCGGAATGAAATGGTTCACTAAACGAGATGTGTTGACAATCAATGACAATCTTTTTAAATCTGCTTCAGATGATTCAGCTGTCACAAAAAGATTGATTTTATCCATGGCACAGAAGGTATTTGATCCTATAGGAGTCACGGCCCCAACTACATTGGTACCAAAATTATTGCTGCAGAAGTTGTGGGAAAAGCAAATACCTTGGGATACGCCGGTTGACGAGGAAGTCGCAATTGCTTTTCGAAATTGGCTCACAGGATTACCACATCTTCTCGAAGTAGAAATTCCTCGTTGGATTTCTACCGGTTCTAAAGATGTACAAAACTTGAGCATCCACGTCTTCTGCGATGCCAGCCAAAAAGCATATGCTACAGTGGTATATTGCAGAGTCGAAATGGATAAAAATGTATCCATACATTTATTGGCTGCAAAATCTAGGGTTGCGCCATTGAGAAAATTAACAATTCCGCGTTTGGAGCTTATGGGAGCAACAATAGCTGCTAGACTTTATAAGCAAGTTGCGGATAACCTTACAAGCAACTTTGATTGTTTTTTCTGGTGCGATTCATCAACTGTTATAACATGGATTCAGAGCCAGGAGGAATGGGGAACATTTGTGTGGAACAGGGTTAATGAAATCAGACGATTGACTCCAGCAGAACAGTGGTGTCATGTACCCGGAGCATATAACCCTGCAGATCTTCCATCACGAGGTTGTTCTCCCAAGCAACTTTTGGAATCGAAATGGTGGGAGGGTCCTAGTTGGTTGTATCAAGATAGAGCAGATTGGCCATCCGAAAGACCGATTGTTAATGAGGAAGAGATCGCCGGAGAACGAAGAAAGAAGCTAGTTACAGTACTTGTAAATACAGAACATTCCGATTTTTGGCATCTATCTTATTTCAGTAGTTTTACCAAAACCGTCAGGTTGATAGGTTGGGTATTCAGATATTTAAACAACGTTAGGTATCCCGCCAAAATACAAAGAGGAGACTTGACAGTTAACGAATTAGATGCTGCTGAAAATTTTATTTTTAAACTAGTCCAAACAGAAAGCTTTACCAATATCAATGATAAGAGAATTAGCGGTCTTTGTCCTTTTTATGATAAAACAGGAATAATACGTCTGAAATCAAGAGTACTCAATCGAGAAGATACAAATAATTACAGATTTCCCATCATTTTGTCAGCAAGGCACCCTGTGGTTAACAATTTGATACTGGAATCGCACAAAAGATCATGCCACGTCGGAACACAAGGTTTGCTTTCCCTGTTGCGTGAAAGATTTTGGTTATTAGGAGGCAGACGCATTATTAGATCACTCTTGAAGAAGTGTGTTATTTGCAGGAGATTTACATCGAAACCGTTTACGGTAGATCCGCCCCCACTGCCCGTCACAGAGTGCGAGATGCTGTGGCGTTTGAAATAGTCGGTGTGGATTTTGCCGGTCCTTTATACCTAGCATCAGGAGAGAAGGCTTGGATTTGTTTATTCACTTGTGCCATATATCGGGCCGTTCACTTGGAGTTAACATTGTCCTTGTCTACCGCCACTTTCCTACAGGTTCTTCGCCGGTTTGTCGCAAGATGTGGTAGGCCAAAAGTAATATACAGTGACAATGGGACAAACTTTAAAGGTGCAGAAAACGCGTTCTCAAACTTAAACTGGGAAGAAATTACTCGCGAAACATCGACGCAACGCATAGTTTGGCGTTTTAATCCCCCCGGTGCGCCGTGGTGGGGAGGATATTTTGAACGTCTGATTGGTGTAATAAAACAATTACTTCGTCGGGTTCTTGGACGTGCAAATCTTCGTTATGAAGCACTTTTGACCCTGATGTGTGAATGTGAAGCAGTCGTGAACGCTAGACCTCTAACCTACATTTCAGATGACCCAAACGATCTTACAGCGCTCACCCCGGCTATGTTTTTGCGCGCCCAAGAAGAGGTCGGCACGCATGATATTGACGAGATAGATCGGAACTCTCTGATACGTAGTGCGCGAAATCAACAAAGATTGCGAGAACATCTGCGTCGACGTTTTAGACTAGAATACCTTGGACAATTAAAAGTTTTTGTTAAAAAGACTGCTAATTTGCCGATTAAATTAGGAGAAATTGTTTTAGTCGAAAACGATAATCTTAAACGCGTAGAATGGCCAATGGGACGTGTTATAGAATTAATACCGGCTCCAGACGGGTATACTCGGTTAGTGCGGATTAAGACTGTACGAGGCGAACTACTTCGCGCGATGCAGCGTTTGTTTCCCCTAGAATGCACTAGTAAGACCCCACCAACGGATAATGCATGCATCGTTGAGGAGGACTCTGGAATTTCTGGACCTATAAACCCACAACAGGAGGTACTGCCTGGTCGCCGATACCGAGCTCATCAAGGAGATGCGGAAAGTGATGACAGTGCGGGAGTGTATAAAAGCAGAGTACCCGTTCAAAATGTGCGTTTCACGCGGAGTGGTAGAGAGATAAAAATACCCACCCGCTATATAGATCAGTATTCTTAGTAGTTATAAGCCATCTTGTTACTCCCTTTTGTGAGAAACGTTTCATAATGTGAACCGTTGCTCAGGTGGGAGAATGTCGTAACTGATGTGCCTAAAATATAAATAGTTTTTGTTGTTGTTTACGTTAGGGTAGATGTTTTTTTTAAAAAAGACGTCTCCAAAATATTTGCAACCTTTTATGTATTATTGAAGTGGCTAATGTTAAAATATATGTCCAGTTTTTAATGAGCCGAGAGTGTCCTTTATTTTGAACCGTCTAGGCCGGAAATACGGGTAGTATTTCAACGGCGAGGCAACAGTTGTGAAAAATTGTACCATTGCGATTTCTGGCGAAAGTTGATGTCAAACAAAAAAGTATCCAACGCAAAAGTTGTAGATCATGCAAAACTCTACAACTTTTGTAGAGGTCACTTTTTAAGATAACCTCAATATTTTTGAGAAAAACGGGAAAAACATCTTATTTGTGGTATTTTATTTCTTATTTCCGCAAAAATAATTTAATTTTGACGAAACTTGATGAAGGTATACCTTTCTGTGTCTTAAATAACCACAAATTTTTTTAGATAAAGAATTGATGAATTGGATGAAATCATAACAGTATAAAAGTCAATACCGCACAAAATATCCAACAATTTTATTTACTACTAGACTAATTAAAAATAATAAAACAATTCATAATTTCGTATTATTTTTTTTTTAGGTGCAACTTTTTAAATTATTGATTAAAAAAAATTGTTGGATATTTTGTGCTGAATTGACTTTTATACTGTTATGACTTCCTCCAATAGATATTTTGAAAGCGTTCAGAGCCGTACTTAGGAAAAATTTTAAATGATAACTAAAAACCTTTTTAATGATTGAAATAGTAATATCATCTAATTCAGAATTAAAAATGACTAGATTTAGTTATAAAAATACCAGCTACATATTTAAAAAATTAACCTGATGATTGCCCCTCGAAGACAAAACGTCAGATTGCAAAAATGTTGACGCCATTGGATAGAGCAAAAAAGTGGCAATGTAAATATGCAATTTATTTTAAAATTCGTTTTCAAATAAAGCCTGAAAAAATATAACGATTTTGCAAAATTTCGGATTGTCGGGTTTCACGTAACTTTGCAGTTAATACTTCGTCTTGCTGAAATCTCAAATCATCCAGATATAATTTATGCATTTGTAATTCGACTTAGATGTTTATAGTAATACTATACAATAATAGTTTTGGGTCAAGCAATGAGACAGTTTATTTTTTATTTTTTTCCGTAGAATTAAATGGTGTAATCAGTTTTTGAATTTCTTTTAATTTAAACAAATTATCAACAATTACTGAAAAATTCATTGTTGCGTCATTTTTTATTTTTTTTGCATTTTTGAGCATGTTTTTACAGATATTTTTATTTCACCAAAAAGTATATGTCAAAACGAAAAAAATGATCAACGGCTGACGGTTTTTCTAAGTAGAATTTTTCTTTGAAAAAAAAAGGTTTCAGACCAGAAAAAATGAATACCTCGGAAACTTCTTGATTTTTTTATCTAAAAAAATTTGTGGTTATTTAAGACACAGAAAGTCATAATTTCGCCAAGTTTTGTCAAAATCAAGTTATTTTTGCGGAAATGAGAAATAAAAAATGAATAATCAGAAAAAACCTGTTTTTCGCATTTTTCTCGGAAATTTTGAGGTTATCGTAAAAAGTGACCTCTACAAAAGTTGTACATTTTTGCATGGTCTACAACTTTTGTGTTCGATACTTTTTTGTTTGGCATCAACTTACGCCAGAAATCCCAATGATACAATTTTTCACAACTTTTCAACCCCTCAGAACAACCCTCCGCAACCCCTGCTCACGCATTTATTTTTTTAAGGTTTATTATAAGCCCTTTTACCATTTCCACTTATAAAAGTCCAGGTAACATTTTTTTTTCTCCAAGTATCATTTGGTTGGACTATTTAATACTAATTAATCTTGCTCAAAATATTAATTTTTTAAAAAGATTCAAAAATATTTTTAATTATCCATTAATATCACAGTTTTTTAAAAAGGTAATAACTGGCAACACTGATAACATGATACAAATGGGTCCGAGTACTTCTCAGAGTACACTTTAAAAAACTAATTATAAACAAATTATCTATTTGATTTAATAAAATTATTTCAAGTTAGTATTCTGGAGAACATATACTATTACCCCTAAAAAACTGCTATTGAAAGTTACATCCTGACATGATGATCCTGTATATCTTTATGTATACTATTTTCTTTACTGCATAGAAACAGTAGTAGTAATAATATCGGTATATTTTACTCTGATGCACTTCAGTCATGAATGCTTAAGGTTCGTGTCATAGAAATAGAAATATTAGGTTCAGGACACATTACTGTGACTTTTTATTATAATGTGTTAACACTTTCTGTACAAATATCTATTACTTTATTTTAAATAGAAACATACTTAATAGACATTTACGAAAACTCTTAGTGATCTATATGTATCAAAAAAAAAAAAAACAATGAGGACAATGATGAATTTTCAAAACGTTAACAATTCGCCTTGTTGTAGTGTAATTAGACCCTTATCTACTTCCTTTATACAGGGTGTCGCCTAATAAATGTTACATACTTCAAGGGTATAATCTAGAACCCAAATAGTGTCGATTTAACCAAACTTGCTTAAACAAAAACTGTGGAAAAAAGAAGTTACAGGGTGTTAAAAAGTTTTTTTTTCCTTTTTATACTTCTTAATTCAGAACTCAGTTAACCGACTTAAGCAAAATTTGCTGTTGATTAGTTTCTCTTCATGAAGTATGCAGTGATTATGTGCCTATTAGGTTAAAATTTAACCTAAATGAATGCCCTTTATGATTTAACCGTTAAATCATAAAGGACATTCATTTTACTACAACCCTTTGTGAATATTTTTTTGTAACTTTTTTGTGTGTTTAAATTTCTATCAAAAGTTGAAATTATGCTCGGTTGTGAAGATATTACAAAAAATATTTATTAACACATACTCCATATGTTTTCGAAATAACTACATATCCATAATAAACAAAATAAATAACATAATTAATAACATACAAGGTGGCAGTAATAAAAAAAATCTACTAATTTATAATGTTTTACGTGTCCCCCATTCTCTTCGACACATTTCCTTAAACCTTTTATGAAAATATTGAGAATAGGAAACGAATGATACGTTCGTCTAACTTGTCAAATGGCATCTTTTATTCTACCCCAAAGTTCTTCTCCCGTATTAAGTGTTACAGAGTTGTAAGCAATTCCTTTCAAATGACCCCAAAGTAAAAGTCTAACGAATTAAAATTCGGAATGCGAGAAGCCTAAGGAAAGTCACTACCTCGACCAATCCAATGGTTTGGAAATGCTTGATTAAAACGATCACTCACCAAATGGCTGTAATGAGCAGGGGCACCATTGTGCATGAACCACATTTGTCGTCTAGTTTAAATGGGTACTTCTTCGAGAGCCCCAGGAAGTTGTTACCTAAGGAATTCCAAATAATTTTGGCCGTTCAACCTTGCAGGTAAAATTTCCTATAATCCCTTACCAGACGTTAACTGAAAATTCGTGTTGGAGGTGGTCCTCTTTTATTGCATGTGGATTTTCTTCGCTCCGCACGTGAGAGTTTTTCAAATTAAAAACACTTCTACAGGTGAAAACAGCTTGATCTGTGAAGGCTATTCTCCCGAGAAAAGTGTGATCCCTGTTATGTAACAGAAGAAATCGTTCGCAAAATGTTAATCTCAGTGGGCGGTCCAGTTCAAGCAAATTTTGTATGGGGTGAAAATGGAAACATTGTAACTGCTACGTGCGGAGTATAGTTGAAACAGTTTTGCGGCCAACTCCTGTGACTGCTGACAAACGACCAATACTAATTTCGGGATTTTCTTCTACTTTTTCTAGAATTTGTTCTTTGTCCTGTACCCTTCTTTGAACATACCTTCTATTTCTTGAATTTCTTGAATTTCTTGAATTAGACAAAAAGTTTCTAGTTTCTCCTAATCTGGTGAATAAGAAGCAAACAATGTATGAGAAGGCTGTTTGCAATTCGGTTAAAGTTCTTCATATGTTCTCGTAGCAGCGTGTTGGCTAAAATGTTCCTGTACATATACCACTATCATGTTTTTAATTTCATAATTCGTAAATTCATTGTGGCGAGGCATTTTCAGAAACAAACTTTTGCAAAATACAAATTTGACAGTGACTTTGTGATGTACTTTCGAGGTTCGGTCGCAGACGCCGAACTAGTATAGTCACAGTCCTGGTTCACTCGGTGGAGAAGTGTTTTCCAAGGTTCGGGAATATTACAAGACTTGGTATAAATAAAACTTTTATTTTCCAAAATAAATTGCAGTCTGTAAATACACATAATATTAACAATAATGCCCTACCCATATAACTAACATAAACACCGGGATACCTATTGTCACAAAGGCAATACGTATGTCCTGACGGTGACGACGCCGAGTGCCGCGGAAAGACCTGCTAAACACCCGAAGTCGGCCGCGAGGTAGACGTCAGGTACCGCGGAAAGACCTGCTAAGTACCCGGAGTCGGAGTCCAGGTGTGTACCTTACCTTGAGCGCCGCGGAAGAGACCTGCTAAACGCTTTGGTTAGGACACCCAGAGGAGGATTGAGTGCCGTGGAAAGACCTACTTGGCACTTTTATACAGAACGGCTGGTAGTGCCGTGTGCAACTTCAGCCGTTGAAACAGCGACTTCGTGGGCCGTGTGCAAAATCGCGGTGCGCCAAACAATTATAATACAGCGTGAGCAAAATAAAATAAGTTCATTACTGAAAATATAAATAAAATCTGGAAATCCCGAAAATAAAAAAAAAGGTTCATTACAACTTATCGAAATTGTCATGTTGTTATGGGTACACAGTTATTTCCATTTAACGTAATAGGAATACAATCTCTGCATACTTCATAAAGAGAAAATAAGCAACAGCAAATTTTGCTCAAATCGGTTAACTGGGTTCTGAGTTAAGGAGAAAACAATAAAAAAAGAAACTTTAACTTGTAAGTTTTTCTGCGACATCTTTCGTTTAAGCAAGTTTAATTAAATTGACACCATTTGGGTTCAAGATTATATCCTTGAAGTATGTAACATGTAACATTCGTTAGGTGTGACACCCTGTGTAAGATATTTCTGGTTAGGCAAACTAAACTTGTAAGATCAACACGTTAACTGATGCTTCTGGCTCAAAGGGTTATTTATTTAAAAGTGTGTCAGAAATATGCAAAATAAAATATATATTGCTAATTTTGGTTGTCACAAATTTTTTTCGAGACTCTCATCCTGTTTTTTACATTAAAAATTGTATAATCAAAGTGATATAAAATTTATTCAGTATTACATTGTTTTTGAAGTATCGTATCAAAGTAGATTTGAAAAAAAAAATGTGTTTTTGTGTATACCTATTACGTCATATTGCGGGCAAACTGAAGAACCCACAGATAATTTCCAACGACTTCTCTTAGCTGCTTTTATTAACAATTTTTTTTTCCAATGTGATCTAGCTGATTAAGCACTAAATAACTCTAAGACTATCATTTGTTTCATATTTCTAGAATGAGTTAGCATTATGATTCCATTTTATTACCTATATTATATTTGATGAAAGAAATGCCAAAAAATTATATAGAATTAGCATGAGGGTGGAAGCACTAACAAAAATGGGACCATGATATAAACATAATTTATTTTGGTAATATATTTTATATGCTTATAATATTATATCAAAGTTATATGTAGTATTACATGTGATCCCATCCTAAAGAAGGATCTGACGAAACTGCCATGTAAATAAGTGCTCCTTGTCCTGGTAGAGGTTTAGCGGCAATATAAGTACGATTATCTCCAGACCATTTACTCATAAATTCTGTCTCTTCTGCTGATAGTTTCTTCTTTCCTGAAGGAGTCTACAAATAATTGCTTATGAAAACTTCCTATTATTAAAGTAATTGTTCCTTTGATATCTACAGTATTTAGGCTTTATACATATTGTAATATCATTCACAAGCGAATTGCTGGAACGCTAGAAGTTTGCTTAGTGAGAATGCAATAGAAACAAAAGTATTATCTATTGAAATTTTAGGTGGTATCACACCTGGATGCCATGACAATACTACCAGCAGAATAGCCTGCCCAAATGTATATAATTTTTATGATTTGGATGCCATTAACATTCGCCTTTATTTATCTTTTCTGGTCTTTCATTGCTAGCTACGATATCAAGATGCCGCTGTTGGTGTCCTTGCCAGCATCCTAGTGTGATACTAATCTTAAAATGTCAAAATCGACCATCGAGTTACAAGTTTCCTATTTAAGCCACGTAATAATTTTTAGGGACAAACTTTAGTCAAAAAATGTAGTTCAATAGCCTTCTTACATGTGAAAAATTTATGAGGCAAACTTGTAACATTTTGGTGGAAGTCTTCTTAAAGGTGAATCAGAAACAAAACATTTAATTCCATGGTAAAATTATTATTTGTCAAGTGAAATGATGTTATTTTAGTTTTTTAAATATTTTTAGGTTTGTACAGGGTGATTCACTATATTTTGCCCCCCCTTTAACTTTTTTGTTTTAAGAGTTATAAAAAAATGTGAAATACAGAAGTTGCACGATTTTTATGAAGTTTTCGAAAATGGTAGTAGAAAAACAAATGAAGTTCAAACAAAATGGCCGCGGATATTAACTTTTTTAATTTAATTGGAACACCTTGTATATTTTTACATATTTGGATAGAACGTTCCTTGTCAATCATAGCCATATAGGGTTTGTTGGGTCCATCTCTAACAATAAGCGAGATAATATTAAAAAACTAAAAGATGTTTTTTTTTATTAAGATAATAATACATCTTGTAATTGTTAGACCTCTTTCAGGCGTTTCTGCCTTTTTTCCAATTACGTAAGGATTTAGATTTAGTTGTAATATATTTTGATATATAGGGACATTGATGTGGTCCAAAATGCATATCTGTACCTCCGAGCTAAACTGTATTAACTTCACTTTTTTGCAAAAACATTATGAACTCTATGTTTAAGAAAAATAAACTTAGGTGTTGATCAAACCTGTTTCAATAAAACTAGTATGTATACACTCAACTAATCTCGTTTAACCATCTGACAAAAGACAATAAAAGCGCTATGTACAATTAATTGAGATTAAATTTTATAAACAGTTCTCCTGTCTAAATGGGAGTTAATACAGTTTAGCTCTGAGGTACTGACATGGGTATTTTATCTAAATCTCACTAATTAGGCCGTATGCGGCCAATTACTCATGGACAGTGTTATATGGTAGGTCGTAACAGTGACAGGTAGTAATGTCATGATAAATTGTCATTATTTGATAATTTGTATTATTATTTAATTAAAATGGGTTACACAGAAGTAGAAAATTGAAATATTATTAGGAATTAAAATAAAGTATGGAGAATATCTTAACTACTCTATATTAATTCCTATAATATTTAAATTTTCTTCTTCTGTGTAACCCATTTTAATTAAATAATAATACTAACTGTCAAACAATAACAAATAGGCCTCTCACGACCTAAATAGTGAGATTTAGTTAAAACACATACCCTTTTTGGACTATATCAATGTTCGATATGTCAAAATATATTATAAATAAATCTAAATCCTTACGTAATTGGAAAAAAGGCAGAAATGGATGAAAGACATCCAACAATTACGAAATATCTTATTTTCTTAATAAAAAACCTTCTTTTCTTTTTTAATAGTATCTCGCTTATTGTTAGAGATGGACCCAACAAACTATATATGACTGTGCTCGGCAGGGAACGTTCCATCCAAATATATAAAAATATACAGGGTGTTCCATTTAAATTAACAAAGTTAACATCCTCGGCAATTTTGTTTGAATTTCATTTGTTTTTCTACTATCACTTTCGAAAACTTCATAAAAAATCCTGCAACTTTTGTATTTCACATTTTTTATAACTTTTAAAGCAAAAAAATTAAATGGGGGGTCAAAATATAGTGAGTCACCCTGTACAGAAAATATTCCTTTGAAATATTATAAATACGAAATTTTCATTTCTAGATGAGAAAATATTTTATTCTTTACACTGAAAATATATCACTTTATACAGTGTGAAACATTTCAAATGGAAACATCCTTATAAAAGATGTATTTATTGACCAATTTAATTCAGTTTTTTTTAAGATGGAGCTTAAAAAAGCCTATTATTTAAATTTATTTTGGGTGTTAAATTTGACAAAAATTGGTTAACTAGTGAAAATTGTTATTTTGAAAATCTCAATAAAAAATGTGATTCATTATTCTACAGGGTGTCTGAGAATGATTGAGAAATGTCATAGTTGGAGATACTGGTGTCCAAAATAAGTCATTTGAGTTAAATATAAAAAATCTATATCTCAGTTATACTTGAATTTAGAAAAACCAAAATTGCTACAGGGTGTGAGTGTACCAAAAGCATTAATCGGCAGTAAGTAGAGTTCATTTGAAGCATTTTCAAGGGTTGATAAGGGATGATGCACCATTAAAATGTGAGAATTTTTTAACCTGTTGGCGGACAAAAATTATTACTTTATTTTATGGGGAATTTTCTAAAACTTTTCTTACTCTTGTTAGTTTTCAAAAAATTTTGTAGTTTTCCACAAAAACACGAACAACTAATAATATTGCTGCTGTGCTATTTAAAATCATCGAAAATTCAAAAGTTGGCTATGAATTTAAAGGTTGACGTTGAAAATCAGGAAAAAAGTTGGAATAAGAATAATTTAATAGAAAAACAAACAACAGAAACACCAGAAATAACATACAATTTGCATTGATAAGTTGTAGAAAATTTTCAAAATGATCACCGTTTTCTCTGAGGCATAAAGGACCACGCACACACCTTAAGGAATTTTCCTGAAAAATTGATATGTTGTCCCTTCTTGATCAAAAGTCTTCATGGCCATGAAGCTTCAAATGCCCATCTGGAGGCGGTAGAGCCCATAAAAGAGTAAAAAACAATGAAAAATTAATTAACTCCCAAATATATTTTTTTTGACATAATGTAGCAAATATAACTTTTTTGACATATAATGTAGCTTTTTTAACATTGATTATATATTTGATAGAAATCTATGAAATGCTCTCACAAATAAAGAATAACAACAATTACCTCTGACATTAGAGTAACCCAATGTGTACCACGAGGACGTTGTCAAGTTGGATTTTACAATAATTTTACCTTGAAATGGACAGCTTGTTTGTGTGTATGTGGACGGGTGCGTGTGAGTGTGTATTTTCAATAAACACACAAAATACCATACAATTTTTTTAAAACATGACTTAAAAAAAAATTCTTTTTATCTTAACATTAACGATTTTTATTTATATGGATTTATATTACTTATTACATTTATATACATGTTTTCTATTTATATTTTATTTTTAAATTGTATATTATTGTTACAGTATGAATATTATTTTACTGTAAATCTGTAGGTTTATCTGATTAAGGCCTGATTTTTTCACCTTCTGATAAATTTCTCTTCCAGTTAAATCTATATCTTTTTCATAAAGTATATGTATAAGAAAGTGACGTAGAATTAACTGACATTTAAATTTACCTGACAGTTGAAAAAAACGGACCTTAGGCCCGGTACTTTGTGTCTCGGTCAAGACCTGATTAACTAATCTGGTGATTAGACTGAATATACTTTATAAAATAAATCAGTATATTTACAGTCTAATCATGTGACTAGTTAACCAAGGCTTAACCGAAACTCAAAATATCGGTCCTTAGTTGATGAATTTTACTAAAATATTATGGGATTAAAAATGTTATTTTCATAAAAAAATAATAACGATTTTTATTTATGCTAAGCATAATGATAGTTTTCTTAACCTTCAATCAGTTGAGGATCATTAAGATTTACTTGTGGAAGTCAATGACCTTAAGATGAAAAAATTTTTTTTTGGAAAAATTCATGTGTATTAAAAAAAATTATATGGAATTTCGTGGGTTTATTTAAAATACACACGCACGCGTGCACATACACACGAACAAACTGGCCTTTTCAGGGCAAAATGATGTGCAAAATCCGACTTGACAACCTCCTCGTATGCACATTGGGTTACTTTAATGTCAACGGTAATTGTCATTATTCTTTATTTGTGAAAGCATCTCACAGATTTTTATCAAATATATGCTAATCATTGTTAAACAAGCTATATTACATGTCAAAAATATTATATTTGTTACATTATATGTCAAAAAAATTATATTTGAGAGTGAACCAATTTTTCACTGTTTTTGAACCTTTTCCCGGCAATTTTCAAAACACTTAGTTAACAATTACTAAAATTAAATGACTTTTATTCTCCATGAAATAAAGTAATAATTTTTTAAATCCACCAACGGGTTCAAAAATTCTGTCACATTTTAATGGCGCATCATCCCTTATCAACCCTTTAAAATGCTTCAATTAAACTCTACTTACTGTCGATTCATGCTGTTAGTTCACTCACACCGTGTAATACAAATTTTTCTAAGTTCAAGTATAACTCGAGATATTGATTTTTTTCGAAATTTGAAACCCTACATTCAAGGCTTATAACTTCTCAGGGATGCAACTTAGTATAAAGATAGGTTGCATTAAATCACCACATTTAGGGTCCCCTACAGACCCTACATGTTCTGTGTCTGTTTTTATGCGAAACACCCTGGATACAATTTTTTACTTATTTTGACAAAGGAACACGTCTTCAAAGTTTGTCCCCTTAATCCTGATACACTATATAATACAAAACTTTAATTAAATTATTATTACGACTTCCTGTCTCCTGCGGATTGTTCTCTCGAACTGAGTATCTCGTGGACAACTTGAGTGGTCAAACTGTTCATAGCAAAATTCACAGACTACTTTATAATAATTTTTCTGTTAATTACGACTAATAATTTTCTTTTCAATTTCAGGTTAAATTTATACATACCCGATCATCATACTGAGGAGTAGTCGAAGCTTCTTTGGCTGCTTTATCCAGCATTTGTAACATATACTTGAAAAAACTGTTTCGATTTTTTTTAACTATAGGATCGTCTGATTTTAGGCTCAATAATTTTCCAATCCATTTTTTACATATATCCTTATCTAAAAAAAAAAAAAAATTGTGTAAATAATTACTTAGTTGCTAGATAGATTTAATTTTAATTAAATCACTGTAAGTAAATTTTTATTAGACATTTGTCTAAGTTTGATAGAAAGTGGAAGTTCAGTTGTTTATCAAAAATAACATTATATTTGCTGAAATGTATATTAGTCACACGACTTCATTGCACATGTTTTTTGGAAATTTTATTTAATGAACATAGTGTAAGTAGGCTTTAAATTTAGAACATAAATGAATATAAAATTTTCACTTTTTAGTGACATGTAAAATATTTGTACTAGCGACTCTAAAAAATAAATTTTGTTTATTTTTTTTTTGAGTCGAGCAAACTAAGCTGACTAATGAACAAAATTTTATTTAACATAATAATTTTTTTGTTTAAAAGGTCCAAAATCATAAATATTATGTTAAAATTATAATGTATTGTAGAGGTTTTCAATAAAACAATTTAATTTGTATGTTTTGCTTTTATTTCTACATTTATTTCTTAATCCTGACGTAACACAACTTTAACAGTGAATTGAACAATTCAAAATTATAGCAATAAGGCTTTAAAAAGTATACCATGGACAATACTAGATCTAAAATAAAGAGTTACACAAGTACAATAAGTGATTAAAAACAAGTAACAGTACTGTTAAAAGTTCAAAATTACTTATGAAAAGAAATATATAGACAACAAGAAAACTGTCGAATTAATTAGAAAAAAAAAAATGAAATGGAAAATAATAAAGATAAACGCTATAAGTGCAAATCATAGACAATTTTTAGCAGCTGTTCACTGGACATATTGATATAACATTCATCAGGTAATAAAATGAATTTAGATGTCATTATATACAGGGGATTTTAACAGATTAGTTCTAGCGGCTCGACAAGAAAAGATTGTATGGGATAGGATCAATGGACGCAATACAAAAAAATATCTGAGAAAAAATATATGGACACTCAATCAAATTATGCAATAAGTTGTAAATAAATTTGGAAGCTCCTCTTTTCCTAAGATTTCTCTGTCTCTCTCTTTTATGTTTTACCTCCAAGAAATTACACTGAAAATGCACAGGGTGATACACTTAAGAAGAAATACGCCTTCGTAACTGCAAAACACATTATGCATGGCAAGCTGCTACAGTGAGCGTCACGCCGCCAATATCTTTCTACCTCGGGTGTCTAAGGCGTTTAATTTAATTCCAAGAAAGTGCGCAGGGCAGGGCCGGATTGAGGGGGGGAGCTACACGGGGGCGACTGTAGCCCCGAGCCTCACGAGATAGGGAGACTCAGCAAGATCTGGCATATTTTTTTTAGACTCAAAAATCTGTTTTTTGAAATATAATCGTGTTTTTTGTTTCTTTAGAGCGTAGAGCTTGCATCCCCGGACCTCATCATAAGTTAATCCGGCACTGGCGCATGGGTCTTCTTGGAAATCTATCTCAATAAATGTCGTGGATAAATACCCATTTCAAAAAATAAAATGACCGTTCAACATTTACCGAGGTCACAGGCGTGTATCTAAAATAATCAACGTTTTTAATAGATGTTATCTTTAGTAATGGTGGCGAGGCGTCTACTACTTCACATTTTAGTAATCCCACTATCCGCGTCATTGTAAAATAGCATGTACATGCCTGCCTCTGAAGTTAGGAATCGATCAATTTATTCGATACGTACCTAGCGGCCTGTCGGCCTAGCGTGCCGCTGAATAATTCCGTTTTTTTTTTGTTGACAGCCGTGCATATCATCGTTTATGCGTGTGTGAGTTTGATGCTTTGCTTGGTTGAGTGTACAGTGCTGCTGTACACTACAGCATGTTTTTTGTAGCGCTGTGTATTGTGAGCATACAGTTTATTTATTTCATTGTCGTTACAATATTTCCGATATGTATTAATAAGATTCTTCACTACTAAGATAGTAATTTTCATACTAATTTGTTCTCATCTACATCTTGTTTCTACTTGTATAGCTTAGGCTAGTGATGGGAGATTTCGAGTGAAAAATCGAGTGGTACTCGATCATTGAGATTAGTGATGGGAGATTTCGAGTGAAAAATCGAGTGGTACTCGATTATTGAGATCACTCGAGATATCTCGAGATGTTTACTCCCACCACTCGAGTGATTATTAGCCTACGGTTGCACCCCAAAATGTTAGTGCATACTGCAAATAGTCACTGATTGCGTAACGAAAAAGTGGTTAGGTTTTGAAGTGCGTGAGCTTTTTTTTTTTTTTGGCTACGCTTATAAGTAATATATGACTAATACAAACATATTTGTGCGCCGCTGGGATGAAAACGACCAATATCTCGTATCTCGAGTGATCACTCGATTATTAGAAGTACTCGATTACCGATAACTCGATTATCAAAATTAGTCGATTATGCCCATCACTAGCTTAGGCCTTTTTCAGACGGGCGACTTTTTGAGTCGAAGTTGGCTACGAAAAGTCGAGCGTTTGTGGTTGACTGTGGCTACCTGCCGGTACCATTTAACAACAATGTAAAAAGGGGTTTCCTTTCATACGGGCGCTTTTTCGACTGCAATACAGATTCTGCCGTTGGTTGTAGCCGATCAAGCCAACTACAACGTTTTTCTTTTCACACGGATCAGTTTCGAAGAGCACGTAGCCGTCGTGGTACGTCTTGGCGGCAACAACAAAAAGCGTGCTTTATTTTGTTGACAAAATGGAGCCGTTTGATATGGATAGTTTAATTGCTGAAATTGAGGCTGAATCCGCGATTTGGGACTACAAGAGTGATTCTTATAGCAACAGAAATGAAAAGGCAAAAACTTGGGAAAAGATGTGTGGAATATTTCATAATATAATTTCCAGGAGTTAAGTAGTAACGAAACTGTCCAAACTTTAGTCGGCCATTGACAATAGGATGTACCCAAAATTTACGCGGTTTTCTTCTTCGTCTTCGCTTTAGGATCAACAAAAGTAATACTTCTTTTGTCAAATTCATGCTGCTACTGACCACATTTTGTCGTCAATGTAGGTAACCACACATTCCGACATTTTTGCGGCCAATTTCGACTGCAAAAAGTCGCCCGTCTTTAATTTAGATAAATAAGTAGGTACCTATTTAAATCCGCTTTCAAGATATTCAGTTTCAAATTTATTATCAGAGAATAACTTAGTTTTTTTGATTACAGCAACATACAGGGTGTTTCACTAAGCATAGTATAAAAGGGGGAGATTTCTGAGGTTAAATAAGAGTGATTGAGCCAAATGATCCTTAACTAAATGTTTATTTTACCGTACCTTACTTTACTTTAACCGTACCGTTTAACCGTACCTTACTTTACCTTAACTAAATGTTTATTTTACCGTATTTTTCAATCTATGGAGTATTAAAGTATAAAATAAATTCCAAATTTTGGTAAACTGTACCTATCTACTAAAATAAATATTATCAAAACCCTGAAGGGTTTAAATTGTCCTTATATTGACTTAAAAATTGATCATAACTTTTTTACCTACAGGATGATTCAGTCATAATGTCATTAATTTTAACCACGTATTAGGAAGGCTTTATAAAGACAGAAAATCGAAAAAAAAATTCACTCGACTTTTAAAAATGAAGGAAATCAACCCATAACTCCCGCTAAGAGGGCGGCCCTGCCAGATGCCCGGATGCTCGGAAAATTTTGTAATGGAATGTCATGAATCAGTCATCAGCTGAAGCGAACAGCGTTGCCAAGTTCACATCATAATCACAATCATTTACTGTGGGTTCCGCGTTAAACGTATGCAAGTAAATAAAGGAGCAAGCTGAATTTTATTATAAATAATTTTAACAATTGTATTAACTTAGTGCAAAATGCAAAACAAGTCTGATTTCTCGAAATCAACTTTCGTTAAAAGAAAATAAATAAAGCAGAGGTAGTTACTTGTTTGTAGGCACACCGTATTTTATTAAATAAATAACGTCGACACACTACTAAATACCCGAATATACAAAATACACTACACACGGTTACAAAATCATTAACAATTTAAAGCGTTTATTCAAATCTGCCACCTTCCATATCTCCCGCATTTTTCCAACTGCATCTATCATACCATACCGTGCAGAGAACGTGCAAGACATCGACAAAATGACAAACTTGATAGAGGCTGTTTTAAATTTAGTCGAGGAGCAGCCTACTATTTCTACAAGAACAATTTTAAGGCGACTGGAGATATCACAAACCAAAGTTTGGCGGATATTGCGCAAGAATTCACTCAACCCGTACCATTTTCAAGAAGTTCAAGCTTTAGCTTACCAGCTGATGATTTCCCCAATCGTCTTGAATTTTGCAGTTGGTTCTTAAATCGACGTGCAGCAGCCCCTAATTTTATTAACAAAGCGCGCTGGACGTATGAACGCCGTTTTACTCGTGCTGGCATTTTAAACAGGTAAAAACATATTACTTTCTCAAAAACAATAAGTACCTACCTAGGTTACACCAAAGTTTACAGTTTGAAGTTTACATTTATTATGTAAACTTTGGTTATACGCAACTGCATATTGAATAATAAATTGAAATACTAAAACTGTGTATTATTTAATATAATAAATTATAAAACGTGAAAACGTTAATTATATTAAAAATGATAAATTGTAATAACCGTACATTGGAAAACAATCATCCGTATTCATTACATTGTTAGCAGCCGTGTGACTCTGTTTGCCACGGCACTCTATCTGGCTCCTGGACTGTTTGTATACGTGCAAATTAAAAACTGGGTCATTGACCTACACGGTCCGTAAAAAAGGATCGTGGTTGACCTAGATACAGGTTAACCTAGGTCGGAATCACGTACCGAGTTGTTAACTTGTCTCCGTCCGATTGTTTTTTTATCTTCTATTAGTCAGTATTTAAATACTACATACATTTCACCCTCTCTTTATAATTTATCTAGTGAGTGTTGGTTTTTTATGTCATTATACTTGTAATGAAATTGAAATGGTTGTGAAATAAAAACTGATTTTTGGCAAGGCA